TGTGTTTTTTTACTTATTATTTCCCACCCCCTTTTTTTCATATGTCTATAATTTTTCTTTGTTTTATTCTTCATTTTGAACTTATCTAATGAGTTCTGTTTACTTGCAGCTTAAGTGCAATAAATGAAACTTGTTTTTTTTTTTAATTTCTTCGTGTTTTCTTGTATTTATATATATATATATATATATATATATATGCAATACATATTCTAACTACAATAGATGTTACTTAAATGAAACGTGATGTAAATCGGTGGATGCGTTGAAGGCTTTACTCCAGCTAACTTCTTTCGAATAAAAATTCTATCAGCGTGAAAAATCTGAATTAAATTATGCTTATGGCTAAGACCAGAGATGGCGAACATTTTTCGATCAATGTACTAGTTAAATTGCGGTTTATTATATCCGTGGGGCTAATTTATAATTCAGCGGCGTTTAACGACTCTCTCTCTCTCTTTTTATGAACAAGTTTTTGTGGTAAGGCGAGGAAATAGAGGTAATATTATTAGATATTTTAAACTTTTATTGTTTGAGAAATTTGATGATCTGTGCAGCTTATAAAATTTTATGTATACCCTTTATTTATTTATTTGAAAAATGTTATCCTTTTTAAAAACTCTTCAATTAAATAAGGTAACTTTTCAAAACACGTTCAATTAATATAGTAAACATATATTGTATTGTCATTCAAAAACCTCATAAATTTTATCTCTTTTATTGAGATAATTGTTGCTGAAACAAATAAGCCAATTCATTTATGCTTCGGTCAGAAGTGCTGTGTCAAGATCCACTAAATTTTTAAACAAGGCTGTTTTTTACTGTCAGTTGTATGATAATTCATTTTTAAAACCCTTTGCTCAAATTTACTACAGCTTTTTTTTTCCAAAATGTGCAGTTTAGATTGAGCCGTGATGGCTTAAGAGATAGAGCGTTCACCTTCCACTGAGGTGAACCCGCGTTCGAATCTCAGCGATGGTTGGTCGATACGAACAGCGCATCCGGCTTGCCCCTACCACACCGCAGACGCAAAATATTCTCAGTCGTAGTAAGATCATGGGTTAAAGTTCCCTTGCCGTCAGGTTAACCGTGGGAGGTTTTCCTTTCGATCTAAAGCAAACACGTGATTTTTAATTTTCAGTTCTAAAGTTTATTTTCTCGCTGTGTCTAGGGGGCTAAAACAGTAGACTCTCCGAAGTTTTGAGAAAACTCATTGATTTTTCAAACGTAAATAATTTTTGGGAAACGAGTAAATCACTACAATAACCGTTTTTAGAGACGT